GTGCTGAATGTTCTGTCTGGGACAATTTTAGGTGGGGCAGGAGGAATACTGGCACTTCCATAGGTCTGTGCTAGAAAAGTCATTACGTAGGCATCCTGGGTGCTGAAAGCCCTGTCCCTTGCCAAAGGTTTCTTTTGTTTTGAAAATTTTACTGCATGCTATTCGTATTTTATTCGTATTCACAGAGACATACACATTTCTACATTTTGCCCTTTCAATGTTTGTCCTATTATAGTTTTTTATTCTTAGTGCTTCCATTTTGGATTGTTGGAGCCATGAGGATTTGCCACCTTCATTGAATAGGTGATTATTCCATGCCAGAGTTTAAAAAACCTTTCCAAACTTGGTGTTCCCTGTATGTTTGGGATTTTAACTCCCATTAGCCCTAGTCAGAAAGCTAATAATCAGGAATCCTGGGAGTTGTACAGAAAACCGTGTGAAAAGCTGGTTTAAAACCATTCATCACTAACCTGTATTTTGCCTTTTGTCAAACTTTTCTGCTTGTAGTTATCCACCCTGGGCCTTGAAGAATGGATTTATCTCTACTGCAGTGATATTAAACACCGTGTTGTAATGTATTGCAGACAGATTCTTGGCTTGGTATCTTTCAAACAAGAAAAACTGTGGGCGCGCTTTTCCAAAGGCTGAACATACAGTAATGCTTGAGCAAACTTAACTCATGTTCCAAAGCTGGACAAGATCTTTACTGGGACCAGTGAGCATTGTACAATATCCTGTAAGCTTTTGAGTTCTTCAGAACTTCAGACAAAAGAGTGGGAAGACTGTGAAAGACAGAAGGCCAAAAAAGTGGGAGCAGGTGTTATGATTATGAGTTCTGCAGATTAGATAGATCCAGTCTCAAAATGAAGAATTAGCCAGTGCTAGATGTTGAAGACAGCAGATCACACATAGCTTGCTTTTCGAGAAGAAGGAGCAATGACTGACTTCCATTTTTGAATTCACAAAGTTTGGAGCAACTCTGATCAGCCTCTTGCTCAACCAAGGGTTCCTGTGGCAGCACAGAAAAGAAATGCAGAGAAACATGTCAGTCCTTATATTAACAAAGCAGATCAATTTTAAAATATCAGTTTTGGCAGTACATATGGCAGAAAGAAAGGGTGGGGGAATCATGTTGGTCCATGAGGAAAAAGTCCAAAATCCATAGGAGGATAATGCCTTGAGTAAGACCAACCAAAATTGTGCAAGTTTCCACAGAATCTGCCACCAGTTTTCTGGCCTTTATTTACCATGTCCTCTTCCTTTTTGCCCAAGGAGGTCAAAACTTGCATAATTTTGTAGGATCTTGTTTGCTCCTAATAAAGCTTGGATTTTGGCTCCCCTTCCCCCTGCCCTCATGTACCAACACAGCTACCTTTGTTTTCTTAATTTATGTTAGAAAAGTAAAAACCCACTTGGTGGCTCTTATAAAATCCATTGCATGATTCAACATGAAGTCTGAGGTTCTGAAGGAACTAGACATGGTTTGCAGTTTGCACAGCCCTGCCTTCAGCTGCTTTAACCCTTAGTGAGTGTCTGCCTGATTTAATGTATAATAACTCCACTCCCTTTCTCTTGGAGTCAGCTCACTCTCAGAGCTATATTTTACTGCAGGAACATTTTGAAAGTAGGAATGCTTATGAATTTCTTTCAGTCTAGATTTTTATTTTATTATTTATTTTATTTATATCTCACCTTTTTTCAAGGAATTCATGGAGGCTTATATATTTGTCTTCTTCCTCTCAATATTATGCTCACAACAATATCCTATGTGTATGAGGTAGGTGGGGCCGAGAGTCTGTGACTGGGCCAAAAGTGGCTCTCAATGTTTTGAGGGGACCTGTCATAATTCATCCAGGTGGCTCCATGGCCAAGTAGGGACTAGAACCCAAATCACCTTAGTCCCAGATCCACACTCTTAATGACTGCACCACTCTGGCTCTCAATGTTTTGAGGTGACCTTTCATAATTCACACATCCTAAACTTACATGTAGGTCAGAATGTAGTTATTTTGTCCAATTTGCACTTTGCAAAGTTTCCCTCTTAAAAGATTCAGATCAGCCAGTGCCTCTTCTTTCAATAAATGAATTATGAAATATGGAAAATTCCCGTAGTTGTTAAATTAACAGAATTTGTTTACTTACATAAACTTAGATAACAAAAATGAAAACTGAGTAACTTTAGGTGCCTTTTATCTTTTTATGAAACAAAAGTTTACTTGGGATATTAGTTAATATAGAGCTTTTGCATTGTTGGAATAAATGGCTGATGTGGACAATGGATTGTTATGAGTCTTATATATTATGAAACTAGGACAATTAAGGAGACTTGTACTTTATACTGATAATTTTTAGAAATATCCCAGCATTTCTTTTTGCATGTTTTTAGGTGTGATTGTGATGATTGTGCCATTGATGCACAGTGCAGAATGGGAGGATCAGTGAGGTGATCTTGCACCTTCCCACTCTGCATTTTAATAGGCAATCTCTGGAGTTGCTTTGGGGGGGGAGGTTGCTGGAGCACTGGCAGGATTGCTCATGCCATAGTGCCCGCAGTCACCTCCTCTCTGGAACATCCCCTTTGCCCTCTTTCCAAGGTCAATTTTCCAACCTCAGCCAGCCAGCACAATTCTTTCTGCACTGGCTGTAATGGAAGAAAAAAGGGGGTTGAGTGTGGATGCCCAGCTCCCAGGTCAGAGCTTGGTCTCTTACCTTAGATCTGGGAATCTTAATTGCTGTTCTGTTCCTGCATAAGAGCCTGTGTATCATATTTATTCACTAATAATAAGTATTTATCCACCCAGATAATTGGTTAATGTATCTGATCAGCCTTAGCAAGAAAGTCTAATAATGAAGGAGACTCTGAAGCAGCAAGGGCAAACCTAGCTTCTCGCAAGTTATATTTAGCATGGAGGGTGAAAAATGACAGAAAATTATAATCAGCATCCACTGATCCAATGTAAAATCACTTCATCCACCCAGGTGTGCCATATAAACTCTTTTCTTGCCTATTTTTAGACATAGTTTTGCTTGGGAAGGTAATTTAACAGGTAAAATGGCCTGTGGTTTCATGATGTGACAATTCACTGTATCGTGTCACCCATGATGGGTTGTGTTCTCTGGCTGTCTTTTCTAATCAGCTAGTAGATTCCCATACTATGAGGTTCAGGGGCTGCACTTAGTCATCTAGGAAACTCTGGCAGTTTTTCAATTAAAACAGAAAATCTGCAAAGAACCCCTTTGACTCACCTGTATTGTGGAGGATTGAAGCCCCACAGCACAGTTTTGCTTAACAAGTATGCAGTATGGCCCTGTTGAATAATGCTGGTTCTCCCTGGCTTGTGAGAAGCTCCTCTTGCATTTTCCCACCATTCATGCTAGGTTGCAAGGCCAACATCTGAGCACCTTTTACTGCTGAGTTATGTTCTTCCCAGGTCGAGTTTTTCAGCATGGCACCTGCCCTTCATTTCACAGACTGCCTCCCTACCCTCAGCACCAACCCTCCCTGGCTTTGATGTCCCTTTGTATTTTAGTGTTGGTGCGATGGGGCTGGACATATGCAGTGGGCAAAGTCCTGTTCTCTTTCCGGGAAGCCTCCCAAATGTTGCCTGCAGCCCTCAGCAGTTGGGATGCCATGTCGCTTCAGTGTAGCACAGCAGCCATTGCACTCTGCTGCTACAGGTTGCAGCAATGCTGGCAGTAATTTTAGTTTTAACTTGGAACCGTGACTAGCACCCTCACAGTTTAGCTTCCATTACCAGGTGAAGATATTTTTATTTTGTACTTGTTTTTAATATAACTATGCTTTATTCATTTCGTTACTGTTCACTTTTATGTGCCATGCACTTTGTCTTCTGTTACCATGTTAATTATTGTTTTAAGATGTTGGATCCTCACTTTTTAAAATTGCTGATTTCATTTGGTATGTCATTGTTTTGTGAGCTGCCCAGAGAGCCCTTGATCTCTGGGGTGGCATACAAGTATCATAAACAAACAAACAAACAAACAATAGATTCTGCATTCTCCAATCATTCTTTTGCCCACCAGAAGTTGTTTTTTCTTTAAGCACTTCTCACTTTTAGAGGTTGGGGTGATGGTGGTTGTATTAGTGTTGAGGACAACAGAGGTTCTTGTGTTATTCTGAAATTTTAAGGGCACAATCCTATGCATATTCATGTAGGAAGCAGTCCTATAACTCTGGGGAATGCTGGAATTTGTAGGACTTTTTCTTATCTATGCATGCAAAGGACTGTGCCTTGACAAATGTATTAAGACATGAACTTTCTTAGATTAGATTCCATCTTATCGGACATTACAGACATACAAAGGGAACAGAGTAGTCGTGAAATGCAATGAGTACAGCCTGAGAAAATGCTGTGTATACGTTCACAATAGTAGGATCAGTATCAGTTTTGCTAAGTTGTAATAGAATAGGAAATCTTTCTCTTTATGCAGACCTACATGAACTGAATTAAACATCTTGATACTATCTAATTCAGCAGCTTTATGCCGTAATCTCCTTCTGAACTTCCTTTGTTGAAGTATTGCAATTCCCAGGTCAACATTAGTATGTCCTTGGTAAAAAATAGCTAAAACATTTATATTTACTGTTGCTTTTGTGTACACTAGTGCACTCACCACTTTAGAAAGGCATTACTAGCAGGTGCTAACGTATGTAGCACTGGAAAATGAGCCCATAAACAAGCTGCTAATGGTATAATTGATATTAAGCCCTATAGTGTTGCCAGGCTAGATGAAGGTACAGAGTTGTTTGTATATTGTAAGCTTTATATATTCACATTTCTAAGCTGCCTGGTCCCAAGGGCTTTGAGTAGTAATGTAAATATTTAAATGAAGTGTTTTAATGTCAGTATACTAATATATTTGCTAGAATTGCTACCTCAGATGAATCTCGGCTTCCTGTAAGTAGGTTGATTGCTCCATGTAAGCCCAGAGCCTTGAGTTAGTATGGAGATATAATTCATGTTTCTTTTCCTCAACAGGTCTTTGTGTACGTTGGTGTGTAAATGGATGTACTCTTCAGAGAAAGGCTGGGATGATAGTTTCTGGAAACAGATTGGATTAGAAGATCTGGTGGCAAACAATTATGCAAAGATAGGTAAATGTATATGAAATATTTTTTAATTGTACAAACATAGCTTTCACAGAATTTGATAATGGTCCAGTTCAGGTGAAGTGGGGGATGGGTTTCCTTTTATGAAAATGTAGTATGGATGTGGTGAGTTTCAGACTCACATGTTTCTCCCTTGCTTTGTACATGAGGAGAGCATTGAAAAGCATCTGCTTTTGCCTTTGAACACGCCACAATTCCTTGCTGTGTCTAAACCTGGGGAGCTGCGACTTGTTTTAAACATAGTTGAAACAAAGTAGGATCAAACTACTCTGGTCAGTTAACAAACCACAGTTTCTCAAAGTTAGAAGTAACAGGGATCTTCAAAGTTCTAAGTTGGATGTTTTCAATTATTTTGTGTATGTAGGAAGGGAGAGTAGTAATCCATGTCCCCAAAGCTCTACATCATCATCATCATCGTTGAACTTAAAAAAGCCAATAGGAGGAGGAATGTACTGATTTTAATATAAATAATTTATAAAATTCTTCTACAATCAAATAACGTTGTAATGTAATGCTGTGCATTCTGTAGTTCATGATGGCCTGGTACTTGTCAAAAAATTATCTGCACAAACCTGGGAAATGGGTCCTTCCTTCTCAGTTTTTATCAACATAGAGCCTGGAGAGGTGTGAAAGGGTGCTTTTTAAAACTGTTTCTTTTGTTAAGTGTTAATGTAAATGTAATAACAGCTCCTTATGAACCTCAGTTCAAAAACTGAGATTGGACATGGTTTGAAGAACATATCCTGGCCCTCCTTGTGCTGCCTCCCTAGGTGGGTGACCATTAATCTGAAATTGCTGTTTAAACTGGGTTTCATATCTGATATTAGGAAGAATTCTGGTCAACATTAAGTACTGTCAAGGATGACATCAGTTTTCCCCTTAATATCAGTGAGAGAAATCACAAAATATTTAAGCCCTTGCAGCATTTCGGTTAACCTTGGTGTATGTAGTGGTGCAGGATATAGGGATAGCTCTATCAGTCTGTCCTTTGAAAGGAGGAATTATGTATTCAAACACATTTTAAAGCCACTTTTTAGCTTAATAAACAATGAAACTAAGGCCTGTCATTGTACGAGTAGTTGCACATTTTCTACAAGAATCCATTGTCACTAGACAGACATTTTTCAAAATGTATGTGACTTCATAATCATGAACACAGCTAACAGTACATATTGTGAAGTGCTCTCTTATCCAAAATATCCATTTCTACTTCTACATAGACTGATTCAGAACTTGAAAGGAATGATGCAGAGAACAGAGCTCTAAGTTCTCCTCAGGTATTTGTCCTCTGCAACTTCCAATGGGAGATACAGTGGACAGAACCTGGCAAATGTTTCTGTGTAGGAATTTGATAGCTGCCCTTAACAAGCACACGACTCCCTGAAGCAGCTAATTTTTGATTGCAGGTGTGGTGTGCTGATCCAACTGAAGTCTTTTTTTTAATGTTAAAACTGACAAGCTTGGCTGGCTTTATTGCAGAAGTCAAGAGAGGTTGTTGAGGCCCCATCGGTGCAGGTGTTCAAGGATAGGCTGGAGGTCCACATGGTGGGCATGTCGTGAGCGGAGCCAGCTGGTGCCAGAGGTCAGACTAGATGGCCCGGGAGGCCTCTTCTGACTCACTCTGTTTCTATGTTTCTAAGAGCAAAAACACACCCAGAGATAGCATACTGGCAGCTTACTGATATGGATTCGATGCCAAATTGAATCCCTCTCCCCCTTTCCAAGCCAAAAAGAGCTGACTCCATCCTTAAAGTAGATCATGCTGCTTATGGACCAGTCACCTGGAGTGTGTGACCTTTCCCAGTTAGATCACCCTCTTACCTTGATTGGGCTAATGATGTTCAGCCTGCCCCCACCCATCTTGGCATGTTCACTTGAATTTCCCACTGAACATGAAAATGCCTGCTTGTCAGTGACTGCCTGGCTTACTGCTGGATCATTCAGCCTTGGCATCTCAGCTGTGGATTCCAACCACTCCTCCACTTCTGAATCAGAAATCAAGTCACCAACCTTTGAAGGCTGTATTATCAAAGGGGCAGGCCCAGTCCATCCAGCAGGTTAAGAGAGATTAGCCAGATTGACTAATAATGGCTTGGAACTGGAACACCTGGGGGCTATTTTTATGTAATTGAGAACTTAAACTGAATGTACTGGTGAAACTACTTTTTTGTCTACATTATCCAAGTACATCTTTTTGTTCTGAATGTGGCAAATGCCAGTGCTGCCACCACTGCCGCCGCCTCCTCCTCCTCGATCAGCAGCAGCAGCAGCAGCAGCATGGCATTGCATTTCTTTCTCTAGCAAGGAGCCTAAGGCAACTTACAAGGTTCTCTATTCCTCTCCATTCTGTCCTGACAAGAAGAACCCTGTGAAGTAGATTACTCTGTGAAGCAGTGACTGGCGCAAAGTCACCAAGAGGGTTTCATGGCTGAATGGGGACTTGAACCCAGATCTCCTGAATTCCAGTCCATTCTTCTGTCAAGAATTTGGCATATGCTCCACTAAGCCTTGTGCCAATGCTTCTGCATTGACAGAAGGGAAAAAGGCAGAAAGTGGTAAAGTTTCTATGTAGTGCATATGCTCCCCTTTGTTTGCAGGAAAGAACCATTCAGAAGTAATTAATAACTCTTCAGTGCCAGTCATGTAGTAGAATCAATGGTAACTGCGGCAGTATCTCTCCAAAGAGTGCCAGTGTAGTATAGATATTGCAGGTAACAACAGAGCAAGTAGACTGAATAGATACTAGTATGTGGTGAACTAGCATGCTACATACCCAGAAAAGTTTTGTTTCTATTTATAAAGTCTATGTTCATCCTAGCTATACAATGGGTCTGCATGAAAAAAAGAATTGCAGCTATTAGATTGTTCTTCTTTTAATCTTGTGGCTTTTAAATTTGATGGGCTTTTCTTCTATCAGCATCATCTTGTTTTTATAAATTGCTGTAAACTGTCCAGAGAGCTTTGTTTATTGGGCAGCTTAGAAATGAATGAATGAATAAATGAATAAAGATTAGAAGTAGGAAAATGGAGAGTGCATTCATAAGGGGACATTTTATTTCTTGCTTAGCAGAAAGAAATGATCAGTGTTACACATGTACCAGCTCAAACTATGCGAATCTTAGTTATGGGGCTTTCTGGAAGGTGAGTAGAAGGACATCCCTTCTTTCAGCTATTTGTAGAAGAGGATAAGAAGAGTGTTTGAACAGAAAGCATAAGTGTTAAATCTGGGTTGGAAGGGAGATCTCCCTACCATTTTGCCTACTTTCTCTAGGGAGGCCAACATCTCATACTCCTGGGAACCATGATATTACAGGATCTGGGGAGACAGACATACAGGATCTGGGGAGATAGACAAGAACTGTCCACATTTCACTAAAGAGACTTTTCCAAAATAGTTCTTAGATATGGATCATTTTCTTCTCATTCCCCACATTTATATCATTATAGTGCATTTAACTTGTTTGATCAGTATGACCTATTTAAGCATCTTTGAACTGGGCATGGAAACAAGGAAGATCTTTAAATCAGTAGAGAAGATTATGTGAAAATGGTTATCTTGTTTTTGGTTGACACATAGCTGCTGCAGATAATAATACATTAATAATCTTTGTAATCATATAATTATGATGACAATTGAAATGATGCCATTAGTGTACTTCGAGACCTATGCCACACTTATTTCAGTAGTGTGTATTCCCTTCATGTTGCTATGAACTTCCCTACAGCCCAAGTCTAATTAGAATGTTAGCCTTCTGATTGTATAGTAGTTATACCAGATTTCCATTAACTGACTATAAAAGACTTCATTTACAAGAAATTTTCCAGGGTAGATTTATTCAATTCTCCTTGTTCAGTTAATGGCCTTTTAATGGCTGTCCTAGGCTGGCATGTCTTTAATGAGAACATTAGCATATATGATTTTGGAAGAAAAAAATAAGCCATTCCTCAAAGTTAATCACTTTTTTTTTTTTTGCTAATACTTTGAATAAGCTTCTGTAACAGTTTAATGCAACCATTACTGCATTAAATTGAAATCATTTTATACTAGTAAGGAAATCTACAAAGTTGCCTGATATCCAGATAGAGATGCAGTGTGTAATTTGGGGACATACTCTATAACTGCACTGGAAAGCCTCTTTTGTATAATTAGTTGTTAGTATTCTGTTAGCTTTTTGGACCCATCAGCACATTTGAGAATTTGATGAACTGCTGTGTGCACAGCTGCAAAATGCCCAGTAAGTAGGTTGCCTCTTTGGCATCTATTATTGTAATTATTTTTATGTTATATCTCTGTACTGCCTGTAGCTGAAGCTCTCTGTGCAGTTCACAGCATTTTAAGTCACTAATCCAGATTTCAGCCAGGCCCAACCCTTCTTAGCTTCCAGGATTAGGCAGGATCAGGCACTTAGGGCTATACAGAAGCTATATCTAGGGATCTTAGGTTGTGTCTTATTCAGAAAAACTTTTGTCTACTAGACTCTTTCATAAAGATTTTCTAATCTGGCTAATTGCTGGCAGGACTATGCAGTGTATACTTTTAAATGCATGCTTTTGCCCTATACAGCAGTTACTTCTTTTTTGGAAGGAGGGTATTGAACACATAATTTTGGTAGTGTTCAATCTTTAATATTCACAGATGTACACATTGAATTATTTGCTTGCTTGCTTCATAAAAATTAACAAATTATTAGCAAAAATGGATTCTCCATGTTCTTTCTGCAGCTAAAAGAATACTGTTAGAGCATTGGAAGGATAAATGCTTACCTCTAGAAAGGCAATGGATTAAGGAATTTACAATCTTCCAGTATTTGAATGGATGGCATATGCATACCAACTTCACATAGATTCTTATTTGACTATTTGGTCCTCTTTTGTTCAGTCCATGTATGATAGAAGTGTTCAATATTATGCATGGTACGGAGAAAGTGAATGGGGAGACATTTCTCTTGCTCTCCCATAATGCTAGAATCTGGGATCATCCCACA